TTTTCTACCCAATTTTTGTGTGTTCTATTGTAGAAGGGAAATCTTAGCAGGCAAGATAAGGGGAGGCAGAGCAACGTGCAAAGGGCAAAGCATACATAATTGAGACCAAATTCTGCATTTTTTTTCTATCCTGCTTTTGGAGAACACACAACCAATAGAAAGGGTCTGCCACTGCGTTTTTGGTGCGTTAGTAGTAGTACCGTTATGAAATGTGAGAAAGGATGTCTGTCTCTGTAGCGTGAGATGCTGCTGTCTTTTACCATGCTGGATGGCTTTGCTGTTATTCTGTCTGGTTAGGTGATGATTCATAAATACTTATTATGAGTTGAGAACATCACAGCTCTGATAGGTGTATCGTAGATTGAAAACCGTCGTTTTGTTGCTGTTTTGTATCAGATACTTTGCTCAGTTTTGCCGGACATTGCCATCTCGCCAAGCCCATTCTTCAGGACTGTACCACAACAGTTTCCACATCCCGTCAAAGGCGGGTGATGGCTGAAAGATGTACAGTAAGGGAACCAATCCAATGGTCCGGATTTTCTCTGGGGGGAGGACCAGGAGAGAAAAATGCACGAATGTCCTGCATGCGGTTGCTTGCATAACGAGGACATCATGGGACCAGAAATCCTGTGCAGCAGAAAAAAAGCACCCCCGTCCGTCCTTTTGTCTCGAGTCGCACAGACAGTAAACAGAGGGGTGAAGAAGCGGATTAGTGTGAAGTTGAAGGCGTATCGGAGGAGAAAGGAGGATGACGCTGGGCCAACTCTGCGGAATTTTTACGTCGTTTTTTCCTTACGGCGAGGAACTGAGGGACGTGTGTGAATGGGCATAACTTGCGCAAGGGTTGGGCTGACCACAAAGAGCAGCGCCCACGGCCATGGCATTGCTGTGTCAAAGAGGTCGCAAACGAAACATTGACGCTTGCTGGCAAAGGTCGCAAGCATGTCCGCAATGACCACGGAGTTGAGATTTCCCGAGCGTCACACCGGGTTCCCCATCCTCCGGTGGTCAAGTCAGATGACGGACGTATTCCCGTCCGTGTAAGGTATGATGAAGATAGGGCTTATGCGGGGTGAGGGGGACCGTTGCTGCGCTGTGAAACAACTGGAACGAAACGAGGCATCACGGCCCAGCTCGTCCTTGGAACAAGCGCCCCAGGCCTCACCGGCGCCTCACAACTGCCATCTGGAGACGAGGCTGGAGCTGGCGCTGTAGGGTGTCGAGCTTCGGCGCAGATATCTGGCAGACGCAATCGACCAACGGCATGTGCCGTCACTGGAGCGCCTCGATTGGACGGAAAACCGAACAGGAGTGCCTGGCAGGACAGCATGGGGGCTGTAGTATTGAAACTGCGTCGATAGTGACTATACGAGTACATGTCCTACTATCACCATGTCAAAGGCTGAGCCGGCGCTTTTGCACCTCGACACGTGCGGGTTATGCAGCTCGGCCCCTGCAAGCTCCACATCGCTGAGACCATCATGGGTCGATCTCATGGCAGTTGACGGAAGCCCAGGGCCCCATTTCAAAGCCCATGTTCCGTGTGGACTTTGCAGATGCTTTAGGTCGTGATAATGGCTGGGCGGCTCTGAACATGCCGGTAGAAAGCATCAGTCATGGACAGCTCAGGCAACTCTCTCCCAAGTGTCGACCGCTTCATCGAGCGGCTTCCATCACATGGCACATCAAAGCCTCAGGGTCCCCCTTGATATGCACATTGGCCGCCGTGGCTGCAAGCTCTTTAAGCGGAATATGAAGAACCAGGGGGGCTGGTCGCTCGGCCCACAGAGATGCGAGACATCATTGGCCTGAGCCTCCCGGGCTGCGTCATTAACAGGGCGCGTCAGAGCGCGTCAGACACGCGTCGAGGCGCGTTTCCATCGTCACCGGATCATGGCACCGGCGGGTATATCGATAACTAGCTTGACGTGCGGCTATCCCTGGCTGGCGAGCAAAGAGGGGCCTCAGTTTCGATGGGTTTCGATCCATCAGGCAGTCGGGTTGGCGTGCAGAACACATGGAAAAGACGGCTCTTACGGCGTCAAACTGCAAGCCGTACCACACCTTGTCACAACCGAGGGACTCCCAGGAGACACAATAGCAAGCGGAAGCCAGAACGGTGGTTTCCCAGCTGTCAGTATGAAGCAGAGCAGAGTAGAATCGGGTACAGGCAGATTGTACATCATACGAGTACAGCAGCCGATCCAACTTGAGTAAACGCCCGAAGGCGAGCTCTCCGGAAGTGGGTGTCGTTCAAGGCAATAGTTGCTAGCTATTGATAGCAGAAGGAGAACCAGCCCTCCATCCCTTCGGCCTGTCAGCTCGGCGTGTGCTCGTCATTCTGAGCCGCTTGCACGCAGGCAAGACAACAGGCCTGTCTCTCAGGGAGAATCTGCAACCAAGACTTTGGCAACCAACACAGCTAGCGGAACCCAAGCCATTGACCAGCTAGAAAAGAGGTGTCGAGATGGTAGGGGGAAGAGGGATCGAGATGACAACGCCTTACACCCTCACAAGGGCCTTCGGGCTCTTCGGGATGACTATCGTATCCCAGGGCAGGGTGGGCAGTTCCAATGTTGAGGGAGACTTTGACTTCATTGATGACGCTACTGATATCGTGTCCATCTCTGCCTTGAGGGACAATCGGACAATCGAAGCGGCCATCATCATACAGTAGGAGCAGCCAACCGGGATACACGGGGAAGAGGAAGCAAAAGAAGTACATGGAAGAGCAACAGAACCTGTCAGCGGCGCATCCTGCCGGAACCTGGCCCGGGATCTGCACGTCTCCTTGTAGTAGGTAAAGAGTAGGTCGACTCGCAAGCCGGCATACTTGACAGTTGTTCGACTGTACCTTAGGTAGCTTGTGTGTGTGGGGGGCGAGAGAGATACAGTAGAGAGGAGAGACGGAGATGGTGCACGAAAAGAGAACGTGCAAGTCTAAGTGGCCGAGACAAGACGGACATGGAGGTGTGGATGGGGCACAGCAGTTGTTGAAGAAAAGGGAAAGGGAACCGAGAGACACACGCAGAGAGGGACAGCTCCCTCAATGGACCAGAACTAGCAGCACTTTGGGCTCATATCGACTTGCCTGCCTCCTCCTTTCTTCTCTCTCGCATGGCGCCTGTCCGCCAGGGCGTTCCCGTGAGACAGCGCTGAAGACAAATCCCCCGCAATGCTTTGCATATGACGACTAGAAAGCCGTCGATGGCTTGGCCTGAACGAGACAAGCCTGGAGCCTGGGCGAGGGAGGGCCAGAAGGGCTCTCGACAGCGAGGGACAAGGCGAGACACGATGCGTAGAAGTAGTAGTCGTCATAGAGAGGTGCCCGATGTGTCTGTGTGCACAGTGCTGAAGCCATTCGTGGGAGCGGCCACGAGGGTGGGATCCATACTGTAAAGCTGCGGATCTTTTGGCTCGTGGCCCTGCAGGGCGCGTGTAAAGTGCTTGCATGTGGACGCTTTAGGCTGACTTGCCTTGACTTGACTTGGGGCTGGCCAAGAGACAGACAGACGAGGCTCGCGCGAGAGCAGAAACACGAGAGGCGAAGCGAATTCGCGGGGGAGGCGGTGCAGCTGAAAGCATCACATCAGTAGTAGGAAACGAGGCACAGACGAGGAGAAACATGGAGTGCTGGGCAGAAGCATCGTGCGTTCACGAGGCGTGTGATTTTGGGCCCTTGCGGAGGACGAGATGCCCAGATTGCCGAGGGGGGGATGATAAAAGGGGAGAAGAAGAAGAAGAAGAAGAAGAAGAAGAAGCAATCAGCCCTTCAAACAGAGAACAGAACATGTGCGTCTTGGGAGGAGCGTCAACAAGTTCAGGTTGGGAGTTGAAAGAAGGAGAGACGACTTCGACTGGGAGGTACAAGTACCGCCGCATTTGGACGCCGTGGGGCCACTCGCCGAGAGAAGGTGCCTGACAGCGGACAGTGCTAATTGAGTTTGTGTACATCTACCAGTCCAGCGACTGCACTGTCCCCTGGTTTGTCTCTTCTCTGCAAGTACTGAAAAGTACTCCGGCTGTAGGGCGCCTCGTGCAAGAGCGTCGCGTTTCACATGGCTCCCACGCATGCGGCGCCCAGCTGGTGCGCTGCAGGTACGGCGCAAGGATGCAGCAGATACCCGCGCGATACCTGCGACCCTCAGACCCTCGCCAGGCCCTTGACCACTGGGCGCTTCGTCCAAACCCGCATCCGGTCACTGTTGAATCGCACACTGTGCAGTGCAAGTACACGCACCCAATGCGCTGCCACCCCTGCGCCAGGGCAGCGAGCTGCACTCGTTGAACGGCCCCCCTGAACGGACAGCCCCCTGTCCGCTGGAATATTGGTTGCCTTGAGTTCGGTTGTTGCTTGCCTTTCTCTTGCCCTCATGTCCCCTCGCACGGTGCAGCTCCTGCGAACAGGCACCCGACTTGTATTTGGCCCTTTGACCCTTTGACCCTCTCCCGCTGCCAGTGTCTAGTGCCTAAAGGGTCCAGCCAGATGCCCTCTAGCCCTCCAGCAGTTCAGCGCTAAAGCCACTGCACAGGGCACCGTTACCGTTGGCTGCCCAGGTGCTGAGGCCCCCCTGCCCTGTCGCTCCCATTATAGCCCATCATCCCCCCGTCCAGCGCTCGCTCATATTACCTGCGCCTCGCCCTCCCGCTTCCCGCATCTCCAAGTTCCTACAACCGCTTGAACAGCAGCATTCCATTCTTTTGCAACCACTTTGCCCGACTTGCGGCTGCTGGGATCCGACCAACATAGCATCAGATCAGTCCATCTCACTTCTACACACACCGCCTCCGCGCCAATTCACTTGTCTCCCATCGCCTCTGTCACTCGGACTCATTCGCACGCGCATTTGAACAGCCAAAAGTCGCGACAACACCAAAGTCACAACCACCTGCCGAGCGCGACCACGCAAAAGCCGCTCCTCACGAAGAGCCTCAGTCGCCATTGAACATCCGAACTTGCACTACAAACACACAAACACACCGCCCTCATCAGACCAACCATGCTTCTCCCATCGGCCTTCTCGTGCGACGGCGGAGCGCAAGCCACGCCTCTGCCCCGATCCCAGCCCACCCGCTTCGCATCGCCGCCCTCCAGCCCGTCGACGCTGTCCGCGCAGTACTCCATCGACAGCATCATGAACACCTGCCGCTCGCTCCAGTCGCTCATCTCCATGACCGCCTCCGGCGCCGACCAAGGCGCGCTCGCGCCCGCGCCCACCCTGACGCAGCTCCCCACGCCGCCGCTCGCGCACGCCCCGACGCCCATGAAGCTGCGGTTGCGAGCGCGCCCCGTCAGCAAGACGGCGGACGGCAAGGGCGGCGACGAGACGACGCCCGTCGCGAGGAAGAGGATCGCCAGGCGCGCGCCCCCGCGAGGCGCCAACAAGCGCCGGCGCGCAGACAGCGACGACATGGGGCGCGACGACGACTACTGCTCCTCCTCCTCCTCCTCCTCCTCCGACATGGACACCGAGGCCGAGCTGGACGCGGCCGAGGCGCTGCGCAACAACATGCTGCCGCCCTTTACGTCGTCATCGCCGCAAGCGCCGTCGACGCCCAAGCGCGCGCGCATCTCGCCCGAACAGCTGCCCCTGGGCCTGGAGCGCGCCGACTTCCACAACGTGCACCTCCTCGAGGGCGGCGACCAGAGCGCGCGCAAGCCCGGGACGGACGTGCAGGTCGAGGCGGACGGCGCGGAGTGGAGCGTCGAGGACGACCGCGTGCTGGTCGAGCTGGTGCTGGAGAAGCTGAAGCTGTCCAAGATGGAGTGGCAGGACTGCGCGCGCAGCCTGGGCAAGGACCGCCACAGCGTGAACCGGCGCTGGAAGAGCCTCGTCATGAACGGCGACATTGGCGTCAAGACGAGGAGTCGCCGGGCGCGGATCCATTCTACCTGGCGATGTTGAACCAAGCAAACCACACAGCACATTTACACACGATTCCTAAACTCATCATTCTTATATCCCTGAGCTTTTTATTCTTTTCGTGGCAAGGGAAAAGGCGTGGACATTTTGATCAAAGCTAGCGGTTGTATTATTTTCACTAATATGTCTTGTCCTGTCCGTCTTTTGGATAAACTCCTGTTTCCTTTGTCTCTTGGCTTTTACCTGCCAAACCGAACCATCTCCTGTACCAACATCACCGTCTTATCTCAACATCCTGTCAAACATTTTCGGTCTATTGTGTACTACATTACCTGTTACAACAGCGCATCATTGGGGGGGGAACAACAACAACTGGCGTCGGGGGGGGGGGGGGGGGGGACAAAACAAAGGGACACTTTGGGGGAGGCCATCAGTGCTATCTGACTGACTAGTTGTACGCTGTTTTGAGAGACTTTTTTCTTTTCAATCCTTCTTAATCTCGTCTTCTTTATCAGCTATTTGGGGTATCTTTGGATATTGGATACCCTTGGATATTTAGTCCGGGGATTTATCGTCACCAGCGGCAGTACTGCTACCTGCTGCCTACTACCTACTACACTTATTACTTACTACCTTACCTACCTTATTACAATACAAGCTGAACCAGCATAATGGAAACTACATGTCAAATCACTATTTCTCTATTGTTCCATCCGTGAACCAACCTCCATGGAATGAGTATCTATCTCCCCTAATCATCCGGCAGTGGCAGTGGCATACAATCTCGATCTCATCAAGAAACCACACCCAACGACCGCAACAACCCAACACTCGTCCTTTACTCAAACCATTGGGCCCCAGCATAACTCGAAACGGAAGAAACAGAAGAAAAAATAGCCACGTTTTTGTTTCAAGGGTTCAGCCTCCCCACGCCCCCGAAAAATCGTCATCGATTTACAGAAACACGTCTGAGACAAACTTCCGTGTATGGAGGACACCGGTTTCCCAGCCTTCCTCCTCTCCTTCTCATTGCGCCCCTTCAGTTCAGGGAGAAGGGGGAGGGCAACCATCTCGATCCCTTTTTCTACTTTGAACTGGCCTAACCTATCTTCAACGTGAGTTCACAGGACATGTTCAGATACTGCAAATAGGACTTCATTTGTCTTCGTTTGTTTTGAGTGATTATGTTGAGAGAAGTTATATGTGTAACCCAGCAGCACAGGAACTTCTTTCCTCTTTCTCATCTCAGGTTATAAACCAACTGGCTTCATATTTACTTGGGAAAGAAAGAATAAACACAAACCCGGCAACAGCGTAACTTGCACAAGAGGAATCCCCTTAATCTTGCCAATAGGACGAAAGGGAAAAGGGGTGGCGGGCGTCGTCTTTCATAAAGGGCTTCTCAACCATCCCCGATCTCTGCGTATCGGACTTCTTGCTATGGGAAACCCCTTTTTCCCATCTAATGAGTAAGAGGAGGGAATTGCCCCCCCGGCAGGCCACAATGTAGATACATACTGCAAATCGCAGTTTGTCTTCACCTCCCCTTTTCAAGCCGTATTCAAACCAGACACTTTTTTCTGTCCGGGTTTTCACTCTCTTGTCTTTTACAAGCCAGCCTCATCAAACCAGCTAACCTGCATCACTTCGCTTTTGATCAACAGTCCGTCTTCATGCATAAACGTGCTCTTCGTTTCGCGTTCTATATCTAAATTTTCCCTCGTCGCCTTCAAGCCACCGTCTTCCCCTCCCTCTCAAAACAGAGCGGTGAGAGACAGCTCAGAACGAGACAACATGCTTCTCATTGCCATCTACCAAGCCAAGTCACATAAAACGAGCATCCCTTACTCCATCCTCAAAAGCACTACGTCATGCAGGTATATATAACCTATAAAACAATAAGGGAAGAAAAAAAAAGAAGAGAAAAAAGATAGCAAAACACGCTCATGGTGCACCAACATCTCCCTCTAAGAAAAAATTGGAAAATGCCATCAACGCTTCAAAACGGAAACGGACTGCCCTCGTCCTACGGAGGCGTCATCTGCTCCTCCATCATCTTGCGCACCTCCTGCTCGAGGTTCTTGCTCGCGTCCGCCGCGCTGCTGCTGCTGCTGCTGTCCTCCTCAACAATCGCCCCCGTGACCTTGTTCGCCAGCTCAATCTTCTTCTGACAGGCCTTGTAAATCAGCTCCTCGATGGTGTGCGTCGAGATGAGCCGAATCACCTCCACGTCTCGCTTCTGCCCCAGGCGGTGTGCGCGGTTCTCCGCTTGGATGTCGTCCTGAGGATTGTCCGACTGGTCAAAGATGATGACCTTGTTCGCCGACGTTAAATTGATGCCGGTGCCGCCCGCGCCCGTCGTCAGCAGAAACGCGGGGATGCTCGTGTCTTGGTTAAATTCGTCAATCAGCGTCTGCCGTTCAGACACGTTGGTGTTGCCCATGAGCACGCGGTGGTCGATGCCCTGACGCGCGAGCACCTCTTGCAGCAGCTCAATGATTCGTGAAAACTTGCTAAAGACGAGGACTCGGTCGCCATTCTCCTGATACTGTTTGAGGAGCTCCAGGAGCTTTCGAATCTTGCCGCTCTCAAGCTCTGTCGTTGCGGGAATGTCAAACTCCTTCAGAAGGCGGGGGTAATCACGGCACCAGAGGTGAAGCTCGAAATCGGACGAGTTCTTGAGCTCCTGAATGAGGTGCTTGATGTCCGGCTGGTGAAGCTCAGACTGGGGAAGCCTGTCCATCAATATCTTGGCCATCTCCGTCACCTTGGCGTCTGTAAACAGGCGGCGGAAGAGCAGAGGGTGCAACGCCGCCTTTCGGAGCTGTATCCACACGTTGTTCTGGTCGTTTTGACGGCCACGGGAACCTCGCGCGGTGCGCTGCGAAGGTTCCATCTTGAACAGTTCTTCGTACTCATCGTACACTTGCTTTTGCTCCTTGGGCATGTCGCAGTGAACGACGGTGCATATCTTCCGGGGCATATCCGACAGCACCTGATCTTTGCGACGCTGAAGGATAAAAGGCTCGAGGATGGTCCTGGCGCGCTTGACTCGTTCGCTGTACAGGAAAGCGCCGTTGGTGACGTCGCGGATCGTCACCTTTTGGCTAAAGATGTACTGTATCTGATTCATGTAGCCGTCAAAGAGTCTGGGGTTGATGAAGTTTAGGAGCGAAGTCATCTCCAGCAAGTTGTTCTGAACGGGGGTGCCTGCAGATGATACCCGTTAGCATATCGTTCGCGTGTCTGCGTCACTGGAGCGAGACATACCTGTCAGAAGCATCTTCCAAGCAGACGGAATCCTGCGAAGGTCCTTGTAAATCTTGGTCTCCGGGTTCTTCATCTTGTGCCCCTCGTCAAATATGGCCGCGTTGAGGTCAAAGGACCGCATGGCCGCAATGTCCTCCTCCGAGTTGATCTGGGAATACGTCGCCAGGACGACATGGTAGGCGTCGGGATCGTTCTCGACTTGGTAGGCGATTTCGGCGCGCTGGGACTGAGAGCCTCGATATCCTATGACGGATAGGCCGGGCGCAAACTTGTTGAATTCGCCGAGCCAGTTGTTGTATGTGCTTGGGGGCACAACAATCAGGTTCGGCCACGGCCGCTTATCTTTGGGGTTCTTCTCGTCCTCCTCGACCAGATGGCAAATGAAGGAGATCACCTGGCAGGTCTTGCCGAGACCCATCTCATCAGCAAGGATACAGCCAATGTCATAGTTGTACAGGACCGACATCCAGTTCAGGCCGTACAGCTGAAAGGGTTTCATGACGCAGTGGCCGTCCATCATCTGCGGCTGACGAGGCACAAGCGGCTTCGAATACTTGGTGCTGCTCAGGCTCGTTGGGGTCAGGGGAGCATCGTCGTCCGAGGGCGTCGACCGCGTGCTGCGTTTGTTCTGGCCAAACATGTTGAGGTCCCAGGACTCCACAACGCCCTTGACTGCCTGGCCCTTGATTTCGCACTTGGCCACGACCTGGTCAATGGCGGTAACGGCGTCCATGAAGACTTCGACGGCATCCACGACGGTCTCTCCGATGCTGATCCTGGCGGATTTGCGGGCGCCCGGCTTCTTGTTGACGTTGACTCTTCTGGCCTGCATCAGGTCGGTAAAAGGGCGCTTTTCGACGATGGGTTTGAGCAGGTCCTCCTTCAGGCCCGTCATGGCGGCCAGCTCCTGAACGCTACTTTCGTTGATACACACGAGCACCTTGTCGTCGTCTTCCTGTGACGCCTCGGGGGATTCCTCGGCCTGATACGAGTCCTCTCTTCCATCGTCTACCAGGTCGATAACCAGTGGATCGTCGCTCGAGACAGGCGCAGGCAGTTCCTCGTCGGCAGGCTCGAGCGAAGAAGCACGTCTCTTGCGCAATCCTTGAATAAGCCGTCGTCTGGGCGGCGGAGGCTGCGGCTTCGGAGGGCTCGACGTGATGGACGTGACGGAAGGCGACGAGGCACGAGGGGCCTGTTTCGCGAGAGCGAGCATCTGGCCCTTTGACACCAGGCGTCGGTTGGCAGACTGAGGAGCAGCCGATTTCGGAGCAGCCCGGGGTTGTGCCTGTCGCGGCACATTGCGCTCCAGCCAGGCGATGGTGTCGTCCAAGTCGTTTCTGCACGCCTTGAGCGCCTCCTTGACCTTTTCCGACGGGTATCGCGCGCCAAAGATGTCGAAAATCTGCCGCATCTTGTTCCTCGTCACCTCCTCGTTGGCGGGCGAAGCAGGCTTATACGCAAAGCCTGCGATTTGCGCCTTGAAGTCGGTAGGGCGAATGTTTCCCCGCGGAGGCGTGATATTGTCGTCGTCGTCGTCGTCGTCCGAGATGAGATCGATTGGCTCTGGGGTTGGCTTCCGCGCGGGACCAGCAGGCTGTTGTGGTCGAGGAGGCCGAAAGACGGTGCCGGCGGGCGCCAGGCGAGAGCCCAGTCGCGTCTGCTGCTGCTGCTGCTTTGGCTGAAAGGGTGAGGAGGCGGGAACCTCGATGACGCTGGGCGCGGGCGACGACGATGAGTCGGGCAGCGCAAGGCCAGGACGGCTGAGGATCTGGGTCGCCTGGGTGGCGTCGCGACCCTTGAGGAAGGCGGACGGCGAGCAGGGGATCGTGTCTCCGGCGAGCTCGTCCATGTCGTGGGCGGGCAGCGGGACTCGTCGAGAAGGCGTTCGCGGCACGATGCCTAGTTGTGATAGTGGCGGCAGCGGAGATGAACTTCGTGCCATGATGTGAAGGAGAAAAGAACGGTAGGAGGAGGAAGAGGAAGATGCGAGGAATTGACCCTCGGGAGAGGGAAAAAGTGAGGAAAAGCAACGTCCAAGACAGCAGCCCGAAGTGCCTGGAGACCCGCAACCCACATGCAAAGCTGAGATGAAAGTGACACAAACGTGAAGAGCAATTCAGAACAATCAAAACCAGGGAAACGCTCAATGGCACAACCAGAAGAAGAAGAAGAAGCCGGGAATTGAAACAAAAAAGGAACCAGGGGCAGTCGCTCGCCAGATGCCAGCCAGATCTACCTATGAAATGGCCGTCCTTTGATGACCTGCGGTGGTTGTAGTGAGTAGTGCCAATGGGAGATGGAGGAGATCAAGCCAGTGGCCGCCACACAAAGTGGCACTCCCCCAAGTTTCTTTTTTCCCTCCGAACAAATTTTCGTGACGATCCGAGACGCGCCGTCAGTGCGAAGACCAAGTCGCGAAGTCACATGACCACTTTACTGCTCTTGAACTGGTAGGTACCTTCTTGCAAGGACAACATCACCTCTTGCTGAGCGTGCAAGAGAGACGACATCATATCCTGGATTCCAACAAAGAAGAGGCGTACGGCTTTCAATCGAGTGATTACACAAGAACGACGCGGACAGGAAAAGGAACACGGACGAAGTCATTGCGAAATAGCGTCCTCTATCACAGCTGGGACCCTCTTCCGGCGAGAGCTCCATCATTAGCATCTATCTATCTACCTACCTTACTCTCTCATATCTCATTGGGCCCCATCTCAGCTCAACTCCGTCTCAACCTCAACCTCATCTCATCCCATCCAACATCAACAAAACCACCAGCACGCATCAAACAGAAACCCAATCCACATTCACAACCACCCAAAATGGCAACCCGCCGCATCATCGCCTCCGAGAAAACAATCCTCGAAAAAGACGACACCGCCCAAGAGAAATCCAACATCAGCCCCGCCGTCCCAAAGTACGTCAACCTCACTTCACACTCACCCCTTATCCATTCAACTGCACCCAAGCAACTCCCAGAAAGAAAGAGAAAGAAAGATAAAACATACTCATCGTTTCGCATTATTATCCATCCATCCATCCATTCATTCCCTTTTCCCCTACCTTTGTTCTTCCGAGGCAAAGTACTGACAGATCAAACAAGAGACGTCATTTACAAGCTGCTCGGCTTCTCCGCAGCCATGATCATCGTCCCCATCGGATCTTATTTCATGACCGTCCACACAGTCTTCAACGGTTAGAGCCTCCCTTCTTTCAATCTCACTCTGCCTTGGTAATATCCTGCAGACCATGGCCTGGCTAATACTCTCCATGTGCAGGCAACTCATCGCTGGCTGGCGGTATGGCCGCCGTGCTGGCCAACGTCGTCCTCATCTCATACATCATCGTGGCCATGAAGGAAGACCAGACGGATCTAAAAGAGGGCGGCAAACCCGACAGCAAAAAGACACAGTAATCACTTCATGTACAAGGTCGCCTCGTTCGTATTCATCAACAGCACACTTCACTTCGCATGGCACAAGAGGAGCACTATGTCCAACCAAGGAGAAATGAATTCAAAATAAGAAAACACGAAAAAAATAATCGTCTCCTATTCATTATGTTTGTAGAGCCCGTCGCCGAGACAGGCTGATCTGGTCGTCTCTCCTCCGGGAGACATCGTCTATATGCCACAATGAGCGTGTGGACGGGGGAATGCATTGGCATCACTGCCATCGACCGACCCATGCATGCTCTTGCCGCGCATCTCAACAGCACATGATTATTTCTCCTCCAGAGCCAACGGCAAGGATTTATCAACACCGCAACGCCGCATGACGGAGCTTGTCCGCGTATATACCGTCCCTTTCCACAAAGTCATGTGCTAAACGCTCGTCTTACAGAGCTTTCGAACAAACGAGATTCCCAATGGTCCAAAAGTCATAAATGCAGGAGCGGAAAGAAAAGGGAAACAGAAAAGAAGAAAAAAAGAAATAAAAACTGACATCCACCCAATTCCGTGTTCGTCTCTCTCCGGCCGGCAGTAAAGGCGTAATTATAAGCAGCAAGCAATGAGATGCTCAGACCCAAATCGTGAAGCAACTGAATGGAGCCGTTTCCATTCGCCCCGCCAAAAACAGAGAGTTGGGAGAAGTGCGAGAGAGTGTGTGTGCGCGCGAAAGAGACTCGAGTCCAGGAAAATGTACAAAGAAAACGCAAAGGAGTGTTGCAAACGGGGGTATTTTTTGACTTTCCAGAAGACTTTAGGCATTTTTACTAAACCGGCGAGAAAACCAGCTCTTTCGCTTCTCTCCTCCAGACGGCGTCGTGGAAACTTGTCTCTTAAGCAACGTAGCATCCTTTCTAGGGATCGCTGACTGAGGGTTTTGGTAACTCGCGTTTGGCGGCGCCGGCATTTTGCTGGCGGGAGGCGTGAGGTTGACCGTCAACATGGGAGGCTTGTAGGACTGCGACGACTGGCTGAAGGCGATGCCATAGTCGTTGACTTGCTTGGCTGGGGAGGTCCGGTGAATCGAGCTGTTGTCACTGCTAGTCGGGTCGGTTTGGTAACCTGCGGGATCCGAGTTTCCACTGGCGGCCGCGGATGTCACTGTCTCATAAGAGCGATCCTTGTGAGGCATGGGGTAGACGTTCTGCTCGCGGCCGTACGTTCGGAGTTGGGGCTCAGAAGCCATGGCCATCCTGGAAGTCTGCTCTCGCGACGGACGTCGCCCGCCGCTGGGGCCTGCACTCGTAGTATAGTAGCCGCCGTTGTTGCTGTAGTGTTGGTTGTCGTAGTAGCTGTTCCTCGCCGACATGGGCGGGGGCGGCCCTTCTCCTCGGAAGGAGGCGGCACGGCTGCCATAGTAGCTGTCCTGGGGGAAACGTGGTTGATTTGCTGATACAAAGGTTAGAACGGCTACCACGAGAGCTGCGTTCATGAACATTGCGCCCACATACCTCTATAGTAGCTGTTTCGGCGGCTGAAGTTTGCTGAAGGGTCCGTTTCTGTAAGAAATAGGTCAGCTCGGAGCGCTCTCCTTAGGAAGCTCTACCCATAAAACCAAACTCACCTGAGCGATGCATGGACCTGCGCGCAAAGTCGCCTTCAATTGCCGCCTCAAAGCTTCGGATAGTGTCGAGAGGCCGCTCCCAGCGATTGCGGGTAGGGTTAGACAGGTCAGGGTCGGCTAAGAGAGAGCAGAGTGTGAGTGAGAGTGGCCATTGGCATCAATCAGGAGGTTCAGCACTCACCAATTACATTCCCATACGCATCCTTGTGCTGAATGGAACGCAGGGGCGGGCGTGAAGACGCCGTCATGACGGCTTCGACAGCTAGATATCACCATAATGTTAGAGAAGAGCACGGCCAGGCGCGATATGGGAGGCAAAACAAGCAACGTACAGGGCTCCGCTTCGTTCATGGCCAACGTTGGATCAGCCTTGCTGTGGAGGCGTCTAGAATCCTTTTCAGCGTGCGTTTCGTGCAGGTCGACCTTGACGGTGACAGAATTCTTGCGAGACTTGTCGGAGAGAAAACTAAATCTGCGCGAGCTCGGCCTCTGCTGATGCTGTGGTTGCTGCGTCTGCGCTGGCTGCTGGGGGAAAGCCTGCTGAGTGGGCGACGGCAGACCGCGCTCCTTGTCTCCTGGAGTCGCCATGGCGCCTGCGTCTGGGACTGCAGCTTCTTTATCTCTGAGAGTGAGCTAGACGAGATAGCTGGGGCTCTGTGACGAGGGCGCCCAGGGCATTCGGCACGTTCGTGGAGATCGAGCGATCAGTGCGGGTCGCAGACTCGGCGGACGATAATGTCCCAGGAGGAGACTGGACGGTCGTCGTCGCACAGCAGTGCCAGTAATTAATGTTAATGTTACGGGGGGCCCCGGCCAAGGCACAGAACGGGGCGTGCACGGCTCGACTGCAGCCTGAGTCGAGCACCGTAGAGACGATGCTGGGGATGGTTGAGAGAGTGGATGGCAAGCAGCGGGTGCTTGTTTCTCTGCGAGAAGCCCAAAAAACACGGCGGCCAGAGAGACAATTCCAGGCGGTTGGGAGACGGGAAGAGCAGCTCGCGATGGTGTTGACGAGGCCGCGAGCGAGGACAGGGCTGGGAGAGGGAGAGAAGAAAAGACTCGAGGTTGGCGGGAGAGGTTGGGGGCGAGGCGAACGATGTTTCCGGAGCCTTTTGGCTATCAGCAGGTGGAAACCGGGCAGCCTGTAAGAAGCTGTCGCCCAGCAGCTTGTGGTGCCAGAGCTGCGTGGCAGCGGGTAACGATAGAGGGAATCTAGCCCTAGCAGCACGACGGGCCAGGGGGGGAGGGGTGTGTCGAGGCGCTGCAGGCCAGGGAGCTCCGTGGTGTACGCGCTAGGTACCTGGCAACCGGGCCTATGACGCCAAGCGCGGGAGGTCGAGCGCGTGTAGTATCTGATTCGCACTTTGGGAGGCAGTCAGTCCGAGGATGGATGGACGTCTGGTCCCGGAAGCTGCTGCACGCTGCACGGGAGGAGGAGGAAGAGGAGGAAGAAAAGGATGGAGTGGTCTGGTAGCGGCGCCGGGGGTTTGTGACGAGAGGCGGCGTGACGTTCGCTTTGGGGAGAGGAGAAAAGAAGCCTGAACCCTTTTCGGCGGCGTGGATGGATCGATGGACGGGCCGTTGGCAGGGGGAGAGATGGGGGAAAGAAGGAAGAGAGATAGTAGAGAGAATAGGGGCGCAGAAGGAAGAACGAACGAAGAGAGATGGAGGGTGAGTTGGGGAGAGAAATTGGGGAGAGAGTTGGAGAGATACAGAGAAAGAAAGGATGAGAGAGAAGATGGACGAAAACGAAAGAAGAAGGTGGACGCAGCCTAGAACACCAGGACAGAAGCAGGCAAAAATAGCAGCCGGGATGGAGGCCGGCCGATGAAAACGACGATGAAGTGCGCGATGGGATGGGCTTTTGCAATACGATGATGGGAAATGCCTGCAAACATTGACTTTGACCTTGTGGCTGGGCTGCCTTTACCGCAGTTGGGCAGTGGCACCCGTACCTGTCAGCTGGGGGCGCTCTCGTGGCCGCTGCCTTTTCGTCCTTGTTTCGATGTTGAGTTTGCCTCTTTTCCAACGCTCTTCTCTTGTCATCGCGACCAATTGACTTGACTTTGCACCAAGCAAACAGCTGCCCGCAGCGTCTCTCGTTCCCACTGATTGAATTCTTCTGCAGGCAAACAGGCCGTCCAGAGTCCGTATCGCGTACTGTGCATTACGCTCATCGACGGGGTGCGGCTAGTGAATGCAAGCTCGATTACGAGGCCTGCTTGATTGATCTCCCTCAGGCGCAGTGTGGCTGGTGTTGTCCCGGTCACATCAAACCTGTGCTCTGACGCGCTGCCACCGCACCAGACAAGACGCCGGTGCCTTTGCTGACGTCAATTGCTCTTGGTTCCTCGCTCTACGGCTCTTGCGTGTCCGACCCAGGCTCGTACGTGTACAGCCAGCAAGGGGGGAGGGGAGGGGGAGGGATGGACGAAGCAGAAACAACAGGCTGGAGAGGCTAGAAGTTCGAGGCTTGGAAAAACAGGACCAGCGCAAACCCTGACCCAGCTGGACGAGACAAGCTTGTCGGCGCCTCTCGACTCTCCGTGTCAATCGCTTCTTCTCTTTTTCTCTATTTTTTCTTCGCCGGTGGATGCGACGCCGCGATGCCGAACGGCGACTGGCTGGCGGCCAAGAGGCTGCCCACCACTACAGGGCTTGGTGCGAAATAGTACGATGGAGCTGCTGGCTGGGCGATACTCGTACGGAGTACGGAGTTCCTGGAACTGGTCTGCCGGCTCCCCTGGTTGGCTTCCCCCCTGCTGCGCGTCCACTGGCGGCTTCTATGGTTTTTGGGCGACGATGACACAACCGCCCGTTGTCTCAGACCGCATGCGGCTGCTGGTTAATATAAACAAGTGGAGAGCGCAGGGTGTGCGCTGAGGGAAGCGTGTGTCTCGGCGCCACTTGGGGCGCGAGGAATCGAGATTCGGCGGCTGAGTAGTAGATGGGAACGGGAGAAGGGAGAACGGACGACGATTTTCAGTCCAGCTCAGCCCGACGCGACATTGATGCTGCGATTGGCACGGAGTACATTAGTCGCTGCTGCTGCTGCTGATGATGATGATGATGCGCAAACCCGAATACGAAAACAACAAGAGATGGGGGGGAGGAGGAGGAGGAGGAGGAGAGAGAAGATCACGAAACAGAAGGAGAGAAAATCGGCAGAAGCAGAAAAGGCTCATACGAGTAGCAGACGGGTATTACCACAAACTCTCAATGGCCGCTGGGTGTGGGATTGGAACGCCCAGGCCTGGTGAGGTGCCGTGATGCGTGATGCTGGTTCTGAATACGAGGTCGGCGGCAAAAAGCAGACAGACGGGCTGCAGGATCCCAGCGCGCTATATGTACGGAGTATGGAGCACCGCGTCTGATGTGCGGCGCAAAGAATGAGATTCAAGACACCGGATGCGCCTCTGCAAGACAAAGCCAGCAAGCGAGCACCGCCAGAGCGCCATGATGCCCGCGTGGCGCTGGTTGATCTTTTTCTCAGCTCTCATGCTCTCCAGACTCTCTGTTATGTGCGTACGAACGTACGTTAGTCGATCGCGAGCGGGATATGATGCGATTTGAGAGCTGGGGGGAAAGATCAGCGAGGTATTATGCGTCAACTGTGGCTGATGGCTGCCCATTTTGATGCACGTTACGAGGTATCGAGACTGTTTTGGGGCGGTTGGTTCATTATCAGACAGTTCCAACGCAGCAAAAGACTTCTTGTGTGCCTCTTATCAAGCGTTTCGAGAAGCTTTTACAGATCCCTGCGGCATCACGGCAGTAATATCCGCACAGGAAAACGGCGGAGAGAGGGAGAGGTGGGAAAGAAAAACTGCGCCCGGCCACGATTGCTTCGACTTGCCCAGTCTGGCGTGACCCGGCAGCCATGGAGATGAGTGCTACCTTTGCTTCTGCTACGGAGTACTCCGTACTGCTACTCGTACATGCCTCTCGCAGGGAACGGGCACAAGAAACGGAGCATTATTAGTCTCTATGGAGCACCCAGGCCGCAGTATCACCACCGGCTGCTCTCCAGACCCGTTCTCGTTGTCCGTCCCCACGCCACGGATTCTATAATACATCTATACGCTCCTCATCGATTCATCCGACCTGCAATCGTCCATGATCGAATTCGCATCTAGAAATAGACGGCCGGGGTAGGCAATTTGTGGCGTGGGATCAGCTCTGCCTCCACGCCTCGAGCCAAACCTTAATGCCTGGAGCGAGGAGCTATTGATCTTCACGATGTTGCAGCCGAAGCGTCCTTTTTGCCTCTCTGCCCGCTCTCTGCCCCTCTGCTGGCTGCCTCTTGGAATTAACCTTTTGCTTATCTTTCCTAATTTTAAACGCGGGACGTCGTGTCACTTGTGGAAGCTCGGATGCTACAGTACTAAGGTAAGGTAGAGATGGAGCTGGAGGTGATGAGCGCTCGGCCAGGCACAAGGCAGTTCTGAGTCCAGTCGTCTGTTGCACATGTCTCTCTCTATCGTCCTGCTTTTCCCACGGCATCACCACGACGAGGCTGGCGGTGGTGGATGATAACAAGTACATACATACATACATACTGATGCCGTTATTAAATGGCCTGCAAGCTGCTGCATTGTCCCGCACAGCTCCCACGCAGTGCGACCAGTTGCGGCCACAGGCGACTGCACGATACGAAATGGTGTGCCTCTGCCAGAATGTTCCTGGACAAGCGTCGGCACCGGGGCTTCGTGTTCTGGCGCTGCTCACACCCTCTTTCTGTGCCGGACAACCTTGCAAGCGCCCCCCTCGCCTAACACTCGACCTCTGTCCACCGCTCCGTATGGGGACAAGCCTTGCTGATAGTAGTAGTATGTAGTATCTCTCGGGAACAGCATCTCATCTCCCCTCCCTCTTCTGCAATGAATGATACGGGATTGCACCTTGATCTCGGTGGGTTGGAGCGCATCATCGCGGCGTCATGCAGGCAGGCATTGTTCGGTTTGCTTATCCCCGTCCGAGCTGCTGCAGCAATAGTTTCCCATGATCTCTCCAGTTTCTCTCAACTCGCAATCCTCCTCTCCACCACGAACCGACAGTAGCGGGATGGATGCTGCTTTGGTGCAGAATCCAGCAAGGAATCGAAGCAAAGAAACAGAAGCCTGGTGGCTGCCTCTCATGCATGCATGCTCACCAACCTCAACGCATTGCGCAAGCTGATTCGACCATGGCCACCAGCTGCACATTGGACAGGCGCTGAGAACATGAAGCCACCGCCAATTGCCTTTGTTTCCGCGGCCAATTCCAGGTGAATACCGTTGACGTATCTCCCACCTCATCGTGCCTCGGAGCTTACCAGGATGGCCAGGATGCGCGCTGGTCCGCTCTCTCAGGGGCACTTGTCTGCCGTTCAGCCAGGTTTCTAGGCCATCCAAGCCATCCTGCCCAGCTATCTTTGTCCATGTCCTGCTTTGTTACTACTGTCTCTGCTTTTCTGTATCCGTGGGTTGTCTCCGATGGGATCGGTCTTGGCGCAGCAACAACAGCGAATGCCTCCCATCCTTTTTTCCTTTCTCCTGCACACTCTCTGCATCCGCACCCCCAGCATGGTCCAATTGTTCATGTTTGTGACATTGCTGCATCTGAGCCAAGCACATACACACGCACACACACACAAGAACGAGCAGCCCAAGCCCAAGCAAGCTGTACAAGTAGTACATAGTATATAGCAAATCGGTCTGGAATCGTCGATCCCACGCCCCCTCCAGCGGCTGCGACTACTAGCCAGATTTCCATCCTTTTTTTCCCTATGCGCCGAGACGAAAAGAGCATCGTCGATCGTTGCGTTCCGTGAGAGCACAAGAATTTCCTTCGCTAGTGCCTCTGCATAAACCTGGTGACCTCATCTGTTAACAACTATGTACCGCGTATGCTGGCTCTTCTCCTGAGTCTGTTCAATACATGTCTGCCATGTGAGCTCCTGAAGAGTCGGTGATGAGATCCTGGGACCCGAGAACGGGGGGGGGGGGGGGGCAGCGAGCCCATCCATCAATGGTTGGATGCTGCTCGCTGGGCTTGAAACCGTGACACCAGCTCGGGGCGGGTGGTAAAGTACCTTACCTTGAATACCTTATCAAACTCTCCCAAGACAACTGGAAGCAAGGTAGTAAGCAGTACTAGTAGCTCTGATGCTATTCTTGGTGCATGGAATGCAAACCGCGGCCTTCCATTGATCTGCCCTCTGATCTCCCTCTGATCTGCCTGTCCAACTGCTCTTCCAAAAGTATAATCTGTTTCTGTGGCGCTTCTAGCTCTCGAATTACGAGTTCCTCTATTTCCTTACTGCAAGAACTAAGGATATTACACTGCTTGTGCTTCGTAAAGTAAGACTCGTCGGGCGCTTTCTGTAGTCATATCGCGCTTTTTACAAAGGATCAGTATGTAGACTGGTTATTACTGCCTAGGTAGTACTTGAGCTCCTCCTCGCTTGTTGACCTCGAACTTGCAACAAGTTGGCCACGATAACAAACCAAGGAAAACTATAACGCAAAGGTTACAAGCAACCAATGAGGAGGGCAATATGCATCAGCGCCCAACAAAGCCACACATAAACCTCGCAGTGATAGTAAGTCCAGTACTAGTAGTTCCAAGGCAACAGGGCGTCTTCCTCTCTCTCTTCTCTTTTCTGTCTTCCCGAGCCTCCCGGACAATGTGAACCAAGTTCCCGTCGAGATTTGTTTCGTTTCTTCCAATCGCGAGGGGGGAGGGAATTGGGGGAAAAGACAAGGGTGTTTAGGCGAAGGGGGCAGCAAAGCAAGCAAAAAAGCAAGGCAGGAAGAAAGTTGCAAGGGGCGGACGAGACCTACTCAGGGACTAGGCCGGGTTTACTTTTAGGTCTTTCTGCAACGAAAAGGGCCACTAAGAAGGCGTTTTGTTTGTTTTCTTTGCTTCTTGTTCCTTTTGGGGGGCTGGCCAATCCGTTGAGCTGGTTCGGAAGACGTGGCTTCGACCTTCGGGAAGGGGGGGGGCTTGGGTTGGCGGGAGGGTGGCTTGCTTGTGTGGCTGGGGGTTGGGGTTGTTGTTTTCTATTGGCGAGGCTTGAGGGTTTCTTTTTCTTTAGGACGGCCGGCACTTGCAGGTTTGCTGGGGGAGGGCTGGAAGACGATGTCCTGATTTCTTGGAGCTTTGGGGGTGTGTTGATACTATCCTGCTTGTCTGACAGTTGGCGCAATTGATGGGACTACTTGCTCCGTATGCTCTGTAATAGTTTCTGGATCGACGGAATCCGAATGAGAGGCCAGTTCTGTACGGGCTTTGAAAAGTTGCCAAGCTGCGATTGGGAGCTCGAACTGTACGAAGCCTGAATGCCGTGCTGCAGAAAGTGATGTCTTGAAACGCGGAGAACTACATGTCCGAAGGTGCTCAGTCCCGAGGGATATCGAAGATACTACTACTATGTAGTACTACATGTAGGAAGGGTGTGGCGCGTTTCCATGAAGGCGATTTGAATCGGAATTTGTCAAGACACGCAGGTGGCCGTGGAAAAGTCTGAGACTTGTTTTTCTCGTTGGGTTTTGCATGTAAGGACCCCTTGCGTGTTGCCGCTTGACTTACATAGTCCCCTACCTTACATGTAGTACCCTTATGTACGTTTACGTGTATCTTGAGTTGAGGAGCGTGTATGAAGCTATGTAGGTCCCTCTAGACTTGGAAGAAAGGGATGGCTGTACGGGAAGCTGCCTAGGCATATTTATATAATATGCCCGACGTAAAGTTCCCCATGTGAAGCAGGAGCCTGAAATTGGTTCGTTTTGACTTGATCGAGAGAACCTTGCATCATTGAGGCAGAAGATGCCATCAGGCGAGACCCTTTGTACTGGTACTACTGCCACGAAATCTACTTTGCAGTGCTACGCTGGATATTGCCACTGCGCAATGTCTCTCTTTTGTCTCACGGACTCCAAGCATGTAGAATGGAAGCAATGGTTCGGTGCCGTGCCGTACACGCGTTGGAATGCGGGTGGTTTGCATCATACCTTGATATTGGTTGGTCTGAAAAAAGCCCCTGATGGCAGAGGTTTTGTTACTGGAGTTCCTGTTGGCGCTTTGGGCTATGGATTTGAGGCTGTGCTGGAAGGAAAGGGGGCTGAGGGCGAACAAAGGGCCCATTGATGAGACAAGCGGGGAAGAATGACAAGAACGTGTGAGGTTGAATGGTTTTACGCGTACATTCTTAAACTTGTGGATATTGTTCGAGTTGTGTAGATAGATACGTGTGTGCAAATACGTGTGTTTGTGGGAACTTTGTGGCTGGGATGATTTTGCTGAGTTATGGGAAGAGGGAACTGCGTTGGACGAGGATTAAGATGGTGGAATGGGAGTGAGGCATCTGGCAGCGTTGGCTACCACTCTTGATAGCAGGCAGTGAGAGGTGTTGAGCTTGAGGTGTATGTGCCTGCTTTTCGCGAAGTAGTATGAAGGTTATGTAGATGGGAGTGTCCAGGTATACGGCAGGCTGGTGAGAGGGCGATGGGTTTTCGTATGTGCGGAAGATGGCTCGAAGCAGTGTCATGATGTTTGATGGTTGACATTTGATGACGGACACCCTGACGATATATACCTCTCTCTCTCTCTCTCTCTCTCTCTCTATATATATATATATATATATGTACATATATATGTGCACATATTATTTGACCTGCAGACTGATATACACTTCCTTGACATGGCAGTTGTGACCATGTGTGACTGGGTAGGTTCAGGTCTGATAGCGTTCATACATAACCTCAGGACTCTATCATGCAGATGACAATGTTTCTTGTGTTGCACCGGTTCTCTGAGGGATGGCCCTTGGCCTCATGACCCTTTCTCAGCAGGGTTCTTCTTGTCTATCGTTGTTCCGGGTTATCAAACATGGCTCGCCACGTAACTCACTTCAGCGTGTTCGTATATACTTCGTACAAGCACAGCCCCTGAATTTGACTCTTCAGTTGGAGTCACTGAAAGAACATACAATACGAGTATTTGATCCTACACATTGGAAGCAATACATTTCAAGATTGACTGCAGAAGCGTATGGTGGCAGGGCCTTTGGATGGGGGGACATCTACATATCTGTGCGGTGTAGGATCAGAGACCTCAAACCAGTGGGATTTGGGTTAACAGGACACCGGCTATCGCCAAAGGGTCGTGGTGCACCTGGTGTTTCTGCAGAGCGTTCAGAAGACTCGTAGCCACATACATTCAAGGATCTTGCGGAGTCCGAGGCACCCTTTCACCTCCCCCATTTCCGGACGGGGTTGACGCTCCAAGTGAGCTGGTGACTAAAGTTAAGAAAGCGCCAGTTCTTTGGCGCGGAGGGCAGTACCAGCCCTGGGGTCTCGAGTAGGCCTTTGCCTCCTTTGCCGGTCTGAAGAAGATCTGACGACCCTCATATAAGAACTTGTCGAAGGATCGTGCATCCCAAGCAATGCCGATTCTCTAAGTAGGACAATCGCTAGTAGTATTCCATCCCAGAAGGAAACAAGATCACAGTGGGTGCAGGATGTCTTCTACCGGCGACGGTTGAAAAGGGGCATCAGTCTGAAGGGCTCACTTTATCAATTGGGCAAGACAAGGAAATGGAGGAAAGGCAGAGTAAGTAGCAAGATCGGGCAATGGCCAGGAAAGAAAGGGAACGCAGAGCAAACAGCACAAATAACGTCGCGGCAATGGAACACGCTGTTTTCTCTCTATGTGAGAGCTGCTGTAGGCAAGCCTTCTGGACTGTCATTCTGTAGTTCAAGTTCCATTAACGCCAAGATAGAAACACTAAGCGGGTATCCTTCACGAATCGTCCGCCACATGTCGTGTATCATTTTTGTTTCTTTTCTTTATATGTGCAACCCCTTCGAATTGCGAGCCACCGTGACCGGCGGATCCTGCTGATTGGATACACGAAGAAAAAAGAAGCCCAGAGACCGAGTAACAAGACGGGCGCCAATCTTCGGAGGAATAAGAGAAAAAAAAGGGGGGGTGAATGAAAGAAGAAGGAAGGGATTGGTTTGCCATAGCCTCAGTTCGTTTCGTTTCGAATCTCCATTTTCTGCAGTGTTCCGCGAATATTCTCTGCCCACATACGTCAAAGAAGGTCACAGATTGCTCCAAGAATTTGTTTTGTGTTTCTGTTCCCGCACCGTTCGGGGGGGTGGATAAAAGGGTTGGGAATTTGACGTCTTTTTTAATTGAATGCCTCAAAGCAAGGCGGTATGCTTTATCCTTGCCTCGACCAATGCAACCAAATGAAAACCGCCCTCACTACCAACTCCAATCCGAAAATCCGGTTTTTTATATCGACGAGGGGTACAGCATGACGCGAACGGAAGCACCGAAAGACTTTGAGGGAAGAGGCTTGGCGAACTTGGCGCGGACAACGCCGGAGTTACCTAGTCAAGAGCGTTAGTCGGGTCGAGTGCCGTCAAATGCGAGGAGGGCAGATTCTATCATTACCGTGTGGTCGGGTAACCTTGCCCCAGATCACGCGGATCTTGGTGCCGCGGATCTCCTTCTGGCCACGGTAGACGAAGGCAACCTTCTTGCCGAGGTAGAAGCTGTTTCCAACCAACGTTAGTTATTGGCATCCTCTCCCTCCATTGTTCGCCGTTCGCGACTTGGGAAAAGAACGTACTTGGCAGCGGCTGTGCTGTCAACACCCTCGATCTTGATCAGGCTGGTGCCAGGGTGGGTGATGTTACGAGAGCGCTGGTAGCTCAGGTGACGTCCCCTATGGTCATCGTCGTTAGCCAACATGTTCGCGGTTTTGTCTTTCGGAGTTGCTCAGGCAGTCGGAAGGTTTTAAAAGTCGAGGGGGGGAAACGCGTTTCGAAACACGACGAAGCGACTCTCGCTGGAACCAAAAAAGGCGCTCGTTCTGCCCTTCGCCATTTGTTCCTCGCCGTCCCCCTTTCCCTCTCCTTTGTTCGCTGCGATTCGACGTTCGCGATCGGAATTGACTTACTTGACGTATACTGCCGGAAAGTTAGTACAATCAGTCGCCAATATCGCAAAGTCCAACATCAGAGCAACTCACATCTGTGACCACTTTCGGAAGGCATCGTGTCTGTTGTGTAGCTTCCGCCCTCAAGTAACCGGGATACTAAGAGGTCTGCTGCTCGTCGTTTGTCGTGATGTCGAACTGAGGGCAATGGGGTGGATGCGATATGGTGTGTGGTGGCTCTAGCACGAAAATTTGAGCCCTGGGCATCACGTGGTGGCTTAGGGCATTTTTGGTGACAAGCGATTGTGGCTGAATCGGCCGTGCACCGCCTCATGTGCTACGACTAGGCTTATCGATAGCTGCATTCCTTTCTTTGCTATCAAGGTTCCACGACTAGCCGCTTTGGGAGGAGCCTGCCACTTAATCACGATCCACGAAACGGAAGAGATGCTGAATGCGTTTACTGCCGCTATAGTTTGGCAGAGACGAAGTGTCTTTTGGCGAAGCTGGTATTACGATTAGAAGTTGACTTTGTTACCCCACGTCCCGAAGCATAAGCGAGAAAGCTGGCTTGCGAGAAGCAACCCTTGATTGCCGCTGTTCTTCATTGATAGCCGGCTGGGAGTCTTCGGCTCCTCGCTCGCATGCGAGTAGGGAATTCGATGCGATGAGTTCATTCGCTTTCTCTATGTTTCTCTTCCATCCATTTTTATCATTCTCAAGCCAGGGGTCCATACTATTTGCCTGTCGGCGGGATACTACGTCATCGAGCCAATGCCGAATGTACTCGACTCTCAATCCACGACAGTACTACCCTTATCATGCACCGTGGTGAAGCCTCCAAAAAAAAGGAGACGGGTATTTCAAACAGCCAACGCTCCTAATATCGCTACTACCTATCCAAGGCAATGACAGAAGAGCCGGCTAGGATAGGATGCGGCATGAGGACAAGATTTTATAGATCCCGGAATGGCTGGTATTGTTAACGCGGATGCTCGGGCAAAGTTTCCATCGAACACGCAAGAAATCGCCGAGGCCAAAGCTAGCCCGGCCCCGGGCTGTTCTCGGAAGATGCGGCGACTGATCAACCACAGGCCGTCTAAAAGTTCCCGGCTCTTGGGAGGGGTTCTCTGGGAGGGGACCAGCCGGGGCGAGCACGAAACCAGGCAGACGCAAGATTACCAATCCCCTCATGTGGTATTACTCGCAGATACTTGTACATACTTGCGCTCTCTCCTCGGTCCACCGGTGCGGCCAGCGGAATTATATCGATGTCCGTTTGGATCACGACTCAGCGCTGAGACATAGAGGGGATGCCTATCTGAGGTCTCTTAAGGCCGGGACAAAGGTAGCGAGTGGATAGAGGTGTCACTAGCGATTGACGGCGGATCAGTGTCCAGGTCGATATCAGTCGTAAAGTATTCACCGCGATCGGCCATCGTCATCTTGGCTGCGGTTTTTTTTCCCTCCTCGTTGCTTTGCTTCCAAGCAACACCAGCTAAGTCGAGCATCGGGTGGGTTCTGGCAGACTTTGTAAGCAGCACGGCTTCGCAGGGGAGACCCATGGATTGCAAAGCGCCGGATCAATAGCAGTACAACTCCCTCGTTCAGTGACATTAGCAGCGCATTAAAGCAGCGCTGGTGCTTGGCAAGGGCGAGAAATAGGTTGGGGGCACACGTTCGGGTTGAACCACAAAGAGAAGCCCCTTTGGGCAATTGGTGTTGAGCAGAAGCGTCATCATCTCCAACTCAATCTGCAGATGACCCCTCAGTGCCACTCCATACATGTATTTACCTACATACGAAATAGGCATCTGGTGTCCAGTGACGGATGTTGCCGTTGAGTGGCCCGGTACATGCCTCATGGCTGATTTGTATTGATAATACTGCCACAGAACTGCGGAGTCCAGGAACGGCTCAGCGGCAATTGATGCTAATGATTCTGGACATACAACAACGCTGAACTGCTGCTGTTTGCCCTCCTCTCGCCTCAGCTTATACTACATGTAATACCAGCTACCTATGTAAGTTGGGTGCGCTCTGCAGCAACTGCATTCCAAGGCTCGCGTCTTCCACCAGCCGCCCGGTATCGCCCATGAGCCGGAGCCTCATCTTCCATTGGCCACCGGCCAGACTCAAGCCGGGCAAAGCGGCCGACTAAACGTGCTGGATGGTGGAGAAGCGACCCTCGAAGAGGCGTCCCGGGCCAGAGAAATGTGGCTAGCACGGAGCTTCGATGATGACTGGACTGAGCTCATCGCCAGCAGCCAGCGGGCAAGGTAACGGTACTTGTGCCTGGAGCGGCACCGACGGAGGGCGGAAGATGGAGCATTGAGGCAGAGGGGCTGGGCTAAATGCTAGCATTTCGTCTCGTTATTGTTATTAAGGCATTATTAACGTCGCAGCAGAGCACAGCACCGCACCGCAGCGCACCTCGTCACCCTCTCGGCCAGCCTGGAGCACTAATTGCCAGAAGCTATAAACTCCGTCAGCGCAAGTTCTAACCCCGTCGCCCTAAAAGCCAGAGCCCACCGCAGTCCCTCCCACCTCTGGATCCCCAAGCTCTCCCTCTTCTCATCCCAACACTCTCAACCTGAACCTGAACCTGAACCTGCTCTTGCCCCTCCGGCCTGGACCGACGACCGCGCCCTCGACCTCGATTCTCGATCAAAAGAACAGCATTCCGGCTGTTTCTTCTCTTTGTCTACTCAGCAACCGTCCCGATCCCGATTTCCAGCGTTACCGAGCTCGCCCCGAAGCAACCAGCAGCCGCAGCAATGGACCACAGCCAGCCGTAAGTACCGGCAACCCCACCATGACACCAGCTATCGTCACTGCGACGCCGACAGCTTCAGCGCGGGGTCGAGCCGACAAGGGGAGAAAAAGACACAACGAAGGGGGGAAAAGAAGGCATCGACAACGAGGCAGCTGGCTAACAATTGCGATGCAGCCAAACGCGCGAGCTCAAGGAGAACACGACGATTGTCGTTCTCGGTGCCTCCGGAGACCTCGCAAAGAAGAAGACGGTAAGAGACGGCTGCATGTCCATGTTCTGCTCGGAATCTCGTTGCGCTGACACTGGCACCTTTGCACGTCGCAGTTCCCCGCGCTCTTTGGCCTGGTAAGCAAGCAGCCCAACCGCCCATATGCTACATAACCGCAGCCCAGGCTACGCCGTCCTTCGAGATGAAAAGAAGAAAAGCGCCCGGCCTCGAAAAATGCATCATCGGCTTACCGTGAGTCTCTGCTAGTACCGAAACCAATTCCTGCCCAAGGGCGTCAAGATCGTCGGCTATGCCCGGACAAAGATGGACCACGACGAGTTCCTGCGACGGGTCAAGTCATACATCAAGACGCCCACCCCGGAGATTGAGCAGCAGCTCCAGGAGTTCACCGATCTGTGCTCGTACATCTCCGGCCAGTACGACAAGGACGAGTCGTTTGCAGTCCTCAACGACCACCTCAACGAGCTGGAGAAGGGCTGGCCCGAGGCGCACCGCCTGTTCTACATGGCGCTGCCTCCCAGTGTCTTCACCATTGTCTCCCAGCACCTGAAGCGATGCTGCTACCCGCAAAACGGCATCGCTCGAGTCATTGTAAGTTGGTCGCCGACCCATCTTCTGGCGTGTCCCCTAACCACCGCATGCAGATCGAGAAGCCCTTTGGCAAAGACCTTGCCAGCTCTCGCGAGCTGCAAAAGTCTCTTGAGCCGGACTGGAAAGAGGAGGAGCTCTACCGCATCGACCACTACCTCGGCAAGGAAATGGTCAAGAACATTCTCATCATGCGCTTCGGCAACTCCTTCCTCGGTGCCACTTGGAGCAGGCAGCACATCGACAACGTCCAGATCACCTTCAAGGAGCCCTTCGGCACCGAGGGCCGTGGTGGCTACTTTGACGAGTTTGGCATCATCCGAGACGTCATGCAGAACCATCTTCTCCAGGTCCTCACCCTCCTGGCCATGGAGCGCCCCATTTCGTTCGACTCCGAGGACATCCGAGACGAAAAGGTCCGCGTCCTTCGCGCCATGCCCGCCATCGAGCCCAAGAACGTCATCATCGGACAGTATGGAAAGTCGCTGGATGGTAGCAAGCCGGCGTACAAGGAGGACGACACCGTACCCAAGGACTCTCGATGCCCGACGTTCTGCGCCCTCGTCGCCTACATTAAGAACGAGCGATGGGACGGCGTTCCCTTCATCATGAAGGCGGGCAAGGCCCTCAACGAGCAGAAGACGGAGATTCGAATCCAGTTCAAGGACGTCACCTCGGGCATCTTCAAGGACATTCCGCGGAACGAGCTTGTTATGCGCATCCAGCCCAACGAGAGTGTCTACATCAAGATGAACTCCAAGCTTCCCGGCCTCAGCACCCAGACCGTCGTCACCGAGCTCGACCTGACCTACCGACGCCGGTTCTCCGACCTCAAGATCCCCGAGGCTTACGAGTCACTTGTCCTTGACTGCCTGAAGGGCGACCACTCCAACTTTGTCCGCGACGACGAGCTCGATGCCAGCTGGCGCATCTTCACTCCCCTGCTTCACTACCTCGAGGACAACAAGGAGATTATCCCCATGGAGTACCCCTACGGTAAGAATTGACACCCCCGCCTATGTTTGGCATGTCATGGCTGACGCATCACGTATAGGATCTCGAGGCCCCGCTGTTTTGGATGACTTCACCGCTTCATACGGCTACAAGTTCAGCGATGCTGCCGGCTACCAATGGCCGACAACCTCGGCTGCCGCTCCTACCAAGTTGTAAGTAGCCGGAGCCTCTGCGTGTTGGTGCAACAATGTCTTGTCATGTATTGCTTTGGATCCCAGGCGGAGCAAGCATAGTAACAATTCTTGCAGTTAAAAATGAGCACCGATGAAAGAAAGTAAAACAAAAATAGCAGTTATATGTATCTCCGTCTCCCAATATCAGATGACATGTTGGACGTACCTACCATTGGGTGTTGGGCAAGGCATGGCATGTGAGGTAGTATGGATTTTATGGCACAAGTTGAGCGTCGTCTAAGCTACGGTGGCATGTACTGGATTTCGATGAGCTGAAGCTCTGATTTGAAAATATAAACAAACGAACGAATTTGGCTCCATCAAGACTTTTGCATTGTTCTCTTCCTTTTTCAGTGATAGGCAATCAATCAAAGACCAGTCCTGTGTGGTTGTCCAACAAACTTGTGAGAGTAAGGTATGACGGAATATGCGTTGATGCAATTATTGCTTTTGGCAGCCTTCTTACGAAGTAACCAGTACAGTCACTACGTGGGTATATCGCACAAACTCCTCTAGCAATCCCCCCAAGCATCTCGGTAGTGGTACGAGAACGAGCCCTTGCAGCACCAGTAATATCCCATTGCCAGAAATGCCCCCCAGATTCCATGGTCGGAATCACCCGAATCCGCTGGTGGTGCGGATACACGAAGTACAGGTTCAGGTTGCTGAGTACCTCGTACTGTACATCGGGGGGTACTTGGGCCTGAGCCGTGATTGTGAGCGCCCGGCAAGTCCACACGGCCCGTGCACCGGTCGCTCACGTGACCGCGGTGCCCAGCCCAGCGCTCTCAGCGTCTCGGCGTCCGCCTTGCCCGTGTTACGTCGAAGCTGTGAAAACGGACAAGGGCGGCTTTGCTGGCGCATCTCCAGTCACCACATCCTCAATCCTCACCCGCCAACCCCCAACGACGACCCAAGCCGCGCCTCTCGCCCATCCCTCTGCAGCCCTGCGCGCTCCGAGTCCCGCAACGACAGCGAATCGCCGAGCCTTGCAGCATCCGGTGCCTGCATCTGCGCCGCGTTCCGACCTCTCTCTGCCCTCTCGCCGGTGGCATTTGCCGGCTCGCAAAGATCCCCCGTCTTCGAATCGAACCATCCGACACGTGCGGACGCCGTCGACCTCTGCTGAGCCGATCCCTGTTACCATCAGCCATCGAACGCCCCCCTCGCCCGCAGCAGCATCTTCGGAATACCAGCTGCTTGACCGTCGACGTGCTATTTTGCTTTGCATGAGGAACGACCTCCAACGCGCCCCTCGCGACTGTCCGCATCGGTGCAGACGACCTTCGATGGTCGTGCTCCACTGCCGCCGCTGAACCCAAAGGCACAACACGGCCTTTCCATGATAACGCGCGCGATAGAGTGACATCAGTCTCCTGCAAACGCGGATTGCGTTCGCTTAGGGGGGGGCCGCGGGTTGCTTGGCAGTAGCAGTTTCTGCGTGGAGGGCTGCGGCAGCTTTCTTCCTTCTTTTTACGACTTCTCGCCGCTTCGATAAATGCCTGGCGTCGTCACGATGGATAGCGGAGGCCAGAATGGCGCGCTTCCCGACCACCGCAAGGACTCGGTCGTCAACGGCGTCAACGGCGTCAAGAGCATTGATGGGCCGCGAGCCGCGCCCGACAAGGGAAAGGCGCCAGCCACGGCCACGTCCAACAATGGCAGCAATGCCGTCAACGGAGGAGGGGCCGCGGGCGAGGCTCAGACAGCAGTCTCCCCGGTCGGACAGCCATCGCGGATGAACAACCTCCCAGACGAAATCATTCACATCACCCAGGGCTTCGTCCCGCTCTCCCTGCTTCTCACGCGCCTCGCCCAGTCTACGCATAACATGGTCCAGGACAAGGTCGCCGAGCTGGCCAAGATGCCAATTCCTGCTGCCGCCATGAACGGGAATACGAACTACACACAAAGCGCTCCGGATGACACATCGAACGAGAACATTAGGAAAAAGGCGGCATTGCTGCACTTCGCCCAGGACATGCACGCAAAATGGGTCAAGGCGCTGGTCATCGTTGAATGGAGTAGGAAGGCTTCTTCGGTCAGCAAGCTCATTGATCTCAAATTCCACATCGATCAACAGCGGATCCTCTACGATGCAGCCCTGGATGGCATGATCAATGTGAAGCGAGACTTGACGTATGCGCGGATACCGAGCCCCGACCTCAAGACTGCACTACAAGTCCTGTCCACTGGAACTGCGCCGTGGATGCCTGATGTAAGTCCCGAATATCCATTTGAAACAAAAACCAGATCGAGGTTGCTTACAAGTTGTGTGTTTCAAGCTCAATTACATCGAGCCGCCCCCTTTGACAACAGAGGAGCAGCTGAGGGGCATAGGCGACCTGGATACGCTGCTGTCTCTGCGACTGAATCTTGATGACTTTGACAAAATCCCGCCTCAATTCCGGAGTTATACAATCGAATCAGGCCGGGTCACGTTCAAAGTTGCTGGAGAATTCGAGGTGGACTTGACGATTGCTGATGAGGATTTCGAGAAGCAGTTTTGGTTCATTGATTTCAGATTTGCCTTTCGGCCGGCGTCAACATCACTGCCCGACTCTCTACGAGCGCTCCTGGAGAACTGCGTAAACGAGGCGCTTGCGAAAGATGGATTGGCCGGCTGCTATCAATTCCTCCACGAATTTGTGCTGACCGCCAAGATCAACGAGCTCAGGCGTCAAGCGCTGCAACTGAGCCGGACGTCGTGGACCGGCACACTGGCGGTGGAACGTTTGAACCGAGCCTTGGCCATTCAGTACTGGACATCCCGTTCGCCCGCTACAGGCCTGAAGAGCTGGGTCATCGTTGCGGTAGACAGCGGTCGTAAAAAAGGGGGCAGGCCGGATCCCAAGACGTCCAGTCACTTGGTGGCAAAGTGGTATCGCGATGGCAAGGAGGTCAAGGACGTCGAGATCGAGGTCAACGCCGAGAATCTGTCCGCCGAGTCTTTGCTGAACGACGTTGTCGGACGGCACATTGAGTTCATCCTATCGGGTATCCACACTGGACTGTTGGCAGCCCCGAGATTTAAGAATCGCGAAAGCGGCGTGGTGCTCAACATCTCCAAGACCGATCCAGGGGCGTCCTGCTTGTCTCTGCATGTAGGATATGGCGGCACGGTGTCGCTGTTGATCGAGCCGACGAGCGGCGCTTTCGCGATGAAGCCGCATTCGAAGTTCTCCATCCAGCCGGAGCTCCAGCTGAACAATGGCAAGACGCCAGCGGAAGACGGAGTCACCTTCTTGGAGCACCTGCGATGTGCGATTATCGAAGATGAATTGGGCCGAATGGGAACTGCCAGGGGCTGGTCTGTCCGGAAATCGCCCATCTCTGTTGATGAGTTGAGGTCAATCACCAAGATGCGCAGATGGAGCCGCGCTCTGTGGCTCCAGCACGGAGGATGGGGACCAACGTGGTTTGTCGGGATCATTCTCAGCTTGGATGGGGATGAATGGTGGTTGATTGAGACGTGAGTCACTCCACCAGTAGTTTTGATTGTCCTGTCATCCTCATCGCGCCCACCTTCCTTTACTTGTCATCTGTGTCGTCTTCACGTCTAACTCTCTTTAGGGATCCCGCGCATCCGAATGGCGCTTCCAAATTCCACACGCGACTTCCGCTGAACAAGGGGACTCCTCAGCTGTCAGGGGCCTTCTGGGATAACCTCAATCAGTTTGCAGCCAGCATGATCACCCAGTCGGTGGATATGAGAGAGCTCCACCGACGTAAGATCAAGTGCGAGGCAAATGGAAGCATCGATCTGTCGCTACCGCCGCAGGTTAGAATACCAGCCATCGAAGTGGCACTGTCGGCCATATTCCCATCGATACTGCCAGACGGCACAGAGGAGGCAGCCTCTCAGAACAGCAGCAATCTCGAGCTGCATAGCGATCGGGACATGCTTGCGCTGTTACGATCAAAGGCAGGGATCTCTTCATCGGCCAAGGAGCCATGGGCAGAAAACGTGGTGGCCATCAAGTTCAAGCGTGCCGATTCGGAATCGAGACAAGTATCAAGCGACGGCGGCCTCGTAACTCACGACCTTGTCTGCACGTCAGAAGTGGCCATCAAAGTCCGACGGCCAATGAAGTTCTTGGCTCTAAGTGGCTTGAGGGATCGGGATGTTTGCTACAACGTCGAAACAAGCGAGTTCATCTTGCGCGTTCAACGTCGCGCCACGGAGCCGATATTCGACATCCTCAAGTCTCGAATCAAGGCCATTGATCGATTTGTCAACTTCCTAGAGGCTATGGAGAAGGCCAAGGGCTCCATCACGACCAGCTCGATGACGCTGAAGAAGGTCGAGTTCTCTTATAGAGCGCCGTCGTCCGCGGCGCCGCCCAAAGCGGATGAGCAAGATGGCGCCTCCGCCGCTCCGGCTGCCCCTGAACAGTGGAGGGTACAGCTGGATCTCTCGAGCGAAGACATTGACATCCACATGGACCCGAATAATCCTCATCTCAAGGTGATTGACATTGCAAGGACACTGGCGAACTCCGAGGACGGCATCGGCCTGCTGATGGTGTGGCTGCCCATTACCTTTTACGCAGTGAAGGCCATCAAAGAGCTCGACGCGCAGTGGGTCGAGCCGTCGATGAAGGAACTGGGCCACCTCGACTTCAGCATGGAGTCGATGGGATGGATCGTCATCAAGTACAACACCTTTGCCAAGGGACGCAACGGAGAGAGGACGAACAAGGTCGTCTGCCTGCAGTTGCGGATACGGCCGCGCCGGGGCGAAGGGTGGTGGCACGCTCAGCGGGTTGCAGCCGGCTCGCCGCCAGACGACGAGTTTGACCAGGCGCTGAAGGCCGTGTGGGACGGCAAGGGGAGGCACTGGATCGGGTTGTCGAGCGGCGCGGCGGCGGCGTCGAACGAGGGCGTCATGGACATGCTGTTTGCGATTGACGGCGCGATTCGGGGGGCGGCGTCTGCTCCGGGCGTGAAAAGAGAGGTGATATCTCTGGACTGAGGTGGGCAGGGGAGAGTCTTGCAGCAGCAGCAGCCGTGATCTTTTATTTCTCTCTCTATATATATCCACAGGGGCTCGTTATATCAAAGAAAAAGTTAAGCCGGGGCGGCGTAGGGGGGAGGAATGTGGCTATACACACACTTTGGGGGTGGGCTATTCGTTTTAAAAACTTGGTTTTGGTTACGGGATTTTCGCTGTGGCAACTATTTGCTTTTTGCTTGCTTCCATTTTAATTTCTTCAAAACCTAATGATACCTCAACGACAAACCTCAGCGAGAAGAGAAAAATGGGCATTTTGTATTTCAGGGGAAACACATGTTATAAAAGAAAATAGCAATGGCAGGGAAAGATGTCATGATGAAAAACGGGGACACGCAGGCCATAGGGGGGCTTGCAGTTGTAGCTCTTTTTCTCCTCCTTCCTCCCTCGTATTGTTCTATCTATTTCCTTTTTCCCGTTCAAGAGCCCTTTGATATTGCGGATAAAAACCAAGTTTGTGTGTGCAAAAGGCACCCCTGTGTTTTGTTCACGACGTTTTACATACAGGTTACTTGGTGGTGATTGGAGGCCCGTCAAAGATTGCTATCTGGCGGTTTCCGTGACCCAAAGCTTCGGTTCCCAAGACGATATATATCTCTCTTCGTCGTCACATCTAGATTGTATACATGGTATATAGTTTACAGGAAGCAAACAATCTCCTTTTCTTTTCTTTCACACCCCCTCACCGTCTAGAAAACCTCCTCACCGGAATCCTCTCCGTCGGCACCCCGCAAAACTGCGTCGGGAACTCGAGCTGCTCCAGCCCCGTCGTCAGCCAGTCCTCCCTCGCCACCGTGCTGGCAATGTCGTAGCCGTTGCGCAGCGCGCCCATGGCGCCAATCTTGGTGTACGAGCCGCCCGCCACGGCGAGCCTGCCGTCGAAGCTGTCGCGCAGGTCCTCGTCCGCGGCGGCCATGGCGTCCTGGTGGCCGCACACGTACTGCGGGATGCACCCGCTCGCGAGGCGGGCCATGGCGAAGCACGGCGTGGACTGCGGGATGCCGAGGTGGCGCTCCAGCACCCTCTTGGCCTGCTGGACGGCCTCCTCCTCGGACGGCACGTGGACGGACGCGGCGCCCGGCTGCTGCTTCTTGTCGTCGTAGTAGTGGCCGCCCATGAGGACGAAGAGCTTCGTGCCGGGCGGCTCGTCGGGGCCCCTGACGCCGACGTCCGAGTCGAAGAAGACGCCTAGGGCGCGCTCCGGGTTCTGCTCCGCGGGCACGGAGAGCGGGATGAGGTAGCCGAAGCCGGGGGGCTTGAGGTTCGGCTGGGGGTACCAGATGTTGACCGTCATGATGGAGACGGCGTGGGAGGGGGCGAGGCTGGGCAGGGCGTCGGTGATGCGGGCGAGGTGTTGTGACGGGAGGGTGGAGATGACTTTGTGGTATTTTTCAGGTGACGAGCCTTGGTCGGCTGTTGTAATCTGATTTATGCCATCGTTAGTTGAGCATGGATCGATGATGGCGGAATCGCTTCTGTATCGCCCCATACCTTTATCATTTCAGTCTCAGACTCGTACTCGAGGCCAGTAACCTTGGCCCCAAGCTTCACCTCGACATTCGCCTGCCCGTTGAGCGCATCCCCCAGCGCAATCGGCAGAGCCTCCATGCCCGCCTCCCCAAAGTGCAACAGCGCGCCCCTCGGCTGCTGCGCCAGCTTCCGGATCAGGGGGTCCTGGCCCATGGCCTCCATGAACACCTGCTCCGAGAGGGCCATGTGGCGCACGTTTGGCCCCAGGGCCGGCAGGTAGTGAACCCAGTAGAACCTGTCCAGGACGCTCCGCGCGCTCAGGGTATAGATGTCGCCGCCGTAGATGCCGTGGACCATGGCCGAGGCCAGGTTCTCCGCCACGGCTCTGCTGCCGGTGATGTGCTGGATCCAGTCGGCGATGGACAGGTCTTGCACGGGCACTCCGTCCTTTCTGCTGAACAGGCGTCGCAGCACGTAGCCGAAGCCTGCCCAAAGCGACTCGAGGACGAGGGGCTCGCTGGCGAAGGCAGCCAAGCTGGTGTGAGGAGGGAGCGGCACGAGGTGGTCGGGGTAGTAAATGTATCGGGGCCGATCGGGCGGCGAGACGACTTTGAGACCGAGGTCGAGGGCCTACAAACCGCCATTAGCCTTTTTCTCCTCGCTCTTCCTCTCCCCCACGCAATCACCATCTGTCACCCCGTGTAGACGCACCAAATCCCACAGCACCAAGTCATCAAACCGCCACGTGCTCTTGTTCAACGACGACAACGACCGCGGCCCCCTCTCGAAGCTCACGACCCCCTCCACGCCTCCCACCTTGACCGGCACCCGCTCCGTCCGGATCCAGCCGCCCAGCCGATCGCTCGCCTCCAGCAGCGTGATCTTGGCCGTCGGCGGCAGCCACTTGGCAAGGTAGTACGCCGCCGTCAAGCCCGTCAGGCCGCCGCCCAGGACGGCCACGTTTGCGTCGGCGGGCAGCTTCCCGGCCTTTTCGCGCTTCTTGTCGGGCGTGTCCGCGCCGCCGTCGTTGCCATGGTCGGGTGCGCTGTGGTTGTTGCGGGCGGAAGCGCTCAAGCAGCGGCCGGGAGAGAGGCGCAACAAGCTGCTGCCCCTCGTCGTCATCGACGTCGCTGCTGATGGGAAGAAGACGGCGGCAGCGCTGCTCCTCCTGCAGACGGCCGACGACAACCTGAGGAGAGCCATTGCAGCGCCGTCCGCGCGCTGTAGGCTCATGGTCTTTGCGGCAGCTTTCAATTGCTCATCTTTTGAAGGGTTCCGAGATGGTGCCACTTCTGGAGCTTCTTCCGCCGATGTTATTTGATACGAGCGTGAGATGATCGGACATTCGGGTCCCACTTTGATCCGGCAATCGACGCTCTCCGCCGCGGGACATGACTAAGACGAGGCGCCGACAGACATCATCGACTCTACTAAGTATACCTTACATAGCATGTAAGTATGCCACGATAACATGATTACTAGCTAGACTACTTCCTAGACTTCACGGGATATCAGAGCTTGCAACACCAATTTGGCAGCGACAAAGAAAGTAAACCGTCTGTTATCATCCGTCGCCGGCTCTCGTGGCTGAAGCCATCTGCCCAAGTCCATCCCCGGCAGCAGCCGCAAAGCCAACCGAGCACGCTGTATAATAAACCGCTTGTCGTCAAGCTTCACACTCTCTGATACCTAAGAAACTAGGAAGAAAAAGAAAACACATCACATCCCAGTCCAAAACGCCTTCCCGTGCCACGCCCAGCCTGACAAGAAACATATACGTCCAGCATAATCGTACAGGTCCTCCAAGCCCCAAGTCAAAAAGTTCATACACGAGGCTGTAGTGCCCGTCTTTTATAGCAACCGAAGCAGAAAAGAAAAAGCATCACTTGAGCGATGCGCGGTATTCAGAGACTCTCCGTCTTTTGTGCGGGAGGGGTTTTTTTCTTCTCTCTCTTTTTGGCCCCGTCTCTCCTTGTACCCTTTTCCCATCATGTTCTCCTAAGCCGTGATTTCTTCATCTTGTGCCATCTCTTGCTTGTTATCCGTCTCTGGCCGAACCAGCTGCTCTTCGGCATTCTCGTCCACAAATTTCCTCTCGCTGACGTGCTCCTGTCCCTGGCCGGGAGTCCAGACCTTGTCCTTGAAGCCTCCCTGCTGGCCCTCCTCATGTGCAAAGGCACAGGTGGGGTTCAGACAAGGATTGTATTTGCATTTTGTCTTGACGTGCGTAAACTTGCAGTTTGGCGTCGTGCAATCCGCGCCGTTGCGGCACAGGGGCATTGAGGGGTGCTTGAAGGGGCACCGGGGGTTTTGGCAGTTGGGGAAGAACTTGCAGTCCTGCTCGCTCTGGTGCGCAAGTCTTGCCGCCGGTGAGGGATGGCGCCCCACGCATTTGCGGTTCTTGCAGGCGGCGCCAAAGCTGCAAACATCGTTGACGTCAACCGAGGCTCCGGGGGGCGCGGCCGGCGACTGGTGCGCAAATTTGCAGTCTTTGTTGGTGCAGTGAAGGTTGTATTTGCAAACCGTCTCGTCCGGGTTCGGAGGCTCGCGCTTGCCTGCCATGTCAACATCCTCGCCCTCGGCACCACCCTCCATGTTCGAGTCCTCCCCATTGGCATCGGGCTGGCCCTGGCCCTGGCCCTGGCCCTGGCCACGGCGAAAGTTATTCTTGTGGCGAGGATCCTGGGTCCGCTCAAACAGAGACTTGCCCCGTCGCTGGTGGCCAAACCCTCGGTTTCCGTTGTTCATCATCTGCTGAGAAAGCTCCAGCATCATCTGGCTCTGCTGCTCCAGCAGCGCCATGACGTCCAGCTGAGAAGGGTGGCCCTGTGGCATCGGCCACTGCGGGAATCCAGGAGCGCCGGGAGCACCACCCATAGGGCCGACAGGCATGCCCCGGTTGTTGTTGTTGTGATTCCGCATCATCCCGCCTCGGCCGCCACGAGGACCACTGGGGGGCGCACGCCCGTGGGTGTTGATTCTCTCGCCGCCTGTTTGTGTGCGAACGCGGTGCAGGACGTTGTCGTTTGATCGGTCCATGGCTTTGGACATTTGCCCAAACATTCGTTTGTCTCGGCCTCCCCTCATGTTGTTCCCGTTGCGCATCGAGCGGGGACCGGTGGGCCTGCAAGGAGAGCTCCAGTTAGCTCCGGCAAAAAAGCAGCGCCGCCGATGATGAGGCATCAAAGCTTCACCAATGGCAAGCAAACAGAAGATAGGTACTTACGCATTCAGCTCTGGCCCGTTGCTGGAACCCATTTCGGTGTCCATTGCCCCGGCGGCATCGCCTTGCGAAGTGTCGCCCATGGAGTCACCGCTGTTTCCCTGCCCGCCATGCGCGTTAAGCATGTGGATCTGGTCAAACAGCCATCTGGAGAACTCGTGGACGACGGGATCGTCGAGCGGAAGGTTGAGGAGGTCGCCCGAAAGCTCGGCGGCAATCTGGTCTTGCGTCTTGCCGTTGACGAGCATCAGAATGATGTACTCGGCGAGGGCGGACTCATCGCCTCCTCCTGTGCCCCATCCGACCTCAACCAGCTTGGGCTGGATCGCAGCACTGAGCGCGTCCGCCAGCGGGGTGCCGAGGCCAATCTCAACAGACATGGTGTCGAGGCGAGGGATCGTGGTCGTTGTGTCTGGGCAACCAGTGCGACGGTGGAGCGTTGCCCGTGTCCGACTTTCTGAGACGCGTTTCTATGTATCGGCAGGAAATGGCGGCGCGGCGGAGAGCGACTCGGCTCTGATGGTATCTCCAAAAGCGAGCGTGCAAAGGAAGGACTGTCGCGAGGTGGTGCGTGGCCGCGGCAGAAGTGAGATAAGTCTGTAATGGCGAATGTTGGGAGCAGAGCAAGTTCACAAAGTTCTTCGAGAGTGCTGGGCAAGGCAGAAGAATGGGTCAGAGCGCAGTCACGTGATGCGGCGTCGCTGGTGGCGAACTGGTTTGTCATCGGCCGCCTGTGGCTGTGCAGCCTTGAACCTTTCATCTGAATTGGGCCTGGCTGACCAAGTACTACTCTGTAGCATCCTATTTGATTCCATTGTTGGGCAATTTGTTCACTCAAAAGTACAGTGTCCGTGCATGTTTATTTGCTTTGTCTTTGACGGATGTCCCCGTTGCTGAAAGAATGCACACTGAATGCACCTGCAGCAGCCTCACGGGCCAGCATGCGCCACCACCAAAGGAATGAAGTACCAGCTCGCCTACTGCGCTTGGCAGCACTACATGGTATCAAATGTTGCGGCATGGAATCAACTCGTGTGTTGAGTATATAAAGGTTGAAGAATGATAGGATGAAAGCAATGAGGTACATACACGGCCAACGTCATCACGAAGTGAAGAAGCTTCTTTGTTCACATCATTTCGTGCTATTTATAGCCAATTCCTTGGCTGATGTTGAAGAACTTGTTGCTTCTTTGAGAATTCCATCAATCATCTCTACGGACCCAGTACATACATGTACTCAGTTCAAGGACGTGAAGCTCTCCCCACAATCCCTGAATCTAAACCGGGTTCATTACGATCAACCGAGTCCGAAGCTTTTCAGGTACCACCTCCTCCCCGGAGTCCATCCAGGCCTTGGATCAAAGCTCCCGTTCAGATACTCTGGGGCAACGCTCTTGTGTAGAATATGAATCCAAACCTGAAGACTCTGTATGGAGTCACCTATTGATAGCTTGTCGGTCGTGTTCCACAGACGATCATTGTGTGCAGGTGAAAAGCTATTTGCAAAGTACTTTCTCCTCAATCGCATAACACTTCAACCGTAAAAGACGAAACCTTTAACCTTGAAAGATAGAACGGTAGCATATAATTGAGGAGTAGTAATACGGGGCATGCTGTATCACGAAGGTATGTACATAGGTAGGTAAGGCAGGTACCCGTTGGTGCTGTTTGATGCTGTTACCTTACCTGTGCTTCATAGCGGGGTATCTAAAAGGCGGACGAAGCGAGAGATGACCCGAGTCGGCACAGACGATATTATACTACGTGCTTGGCCATGAGATATAGTAGTAGTATCAAAGGCAGTGGGTATTGGTCTAGTAGCATCACGAGATAAGCTGGGGTATAGATGCGATCACGCACATCGGATCCAGGCTCTCGAGGACCAGGCAGAGATGGGCATCGTGATGGACAGAGCGGAAGGACACCACGAGCCAGTGTTACATGCCGCGTCGCCGGAGATGCCCATGTCTGCCCAGCGCCATGGAGTGTAACCTAGCAAGATGAAGCTATGTATGTAAGTGCTACTGGCACTACTAGAATTAGGTAGCCAATGGCCAAAGAGTCGATGTTGCCGGATACCTGCTTCCCAGCGGGCATGTACCTTACGCCACGCCACAGGAGGGGCTGGAGAGGTGAGGTTGCAGTCGTGCCAAGGGTCGAGATGCCGTTGTTCTGTATCAATGAGGTAGTAACAAGATGGTGCCAATTTATTCTTGGGATTCTTGCATACAAGGTGGACCGTATCTATGTACTGCCATTCTATCTCTGTTATCACTCTATCTGCCTAGGTTCATCTAGTCATGATAGCTTCAACAGGAGTAGTAATATTACCGCAAGCACCCCGAAAAGCAACTTGACCCGACAGCAGATAGAGAGACTTACAAGGCATCCAGGTCACATACGATATCACCACCACTGTCAGCATTTCAACCAGTAATTTCCGGCCCCCCGCAAAATGACCCGGCAAACCACCGAAACCCCCCATGGAAGCAATTGACAGATGCCTCATAGAGCCTAAGCCCGTGTGCCAGCGGACCAGGGGCTTATCCGGCCAGTGATTGGCCCGCGATAACGGCCCGTTGGGGGAGGCGTCCCCGCATGACGATCGCAATCGGGGATTCTCCAATGGGAGCCGACCAACCATTTTGGTGGCTCTCTTTTTCTGCTTCTGTTTCTTACATACAACCACACTTCAAGCAGAAGATGGAAGCGACAAAAGAGACAAGACTGAAAACAAAGTCCCGGGGCTGCAGCGGCTTACAGGGGACCGGACGGGCTTAAGGCGCCACCGCTAAGCTGCATTCACCGGCCCCTACATACGAGTACATTACGAGTACCTTTGTCCCAACGAGAGAGGGCCAGTAGGAGCAAGAGGCAATGGACGCAACGTCGGCTTTGCGACTGTCTGGCCCGCCCGTGAATAGGCGACCCGCGATCAATGGCTGCATTGACTGGATGGATGGATGAATGAATGAATGGCTGAATGGCTGAATGACCACCACCTGCTAGCCAAGTCGCACTGCAGCTTCAGCTCGCGGCCTCGATCGGTCCATCGCCAGACGGCGAGGTTATCATGAGGTGGATGCAGCAACCAGCGGCCGGACTGGTCAGGCGGTGGTGCCGTTGCGCATGGAGAGACATTACGGGGTGACTTGGATCTCTCGTCAGATCCCACCCCTGGAGACGTATCATCATTCGTCTCGTTTCAAGCCCCCCGGGACAAGTGCAGGCACAACCTGGTATGTGCTGTATGCCGGTAATGATTCTTCCGACGTGACCACCTCAGCGGCTCTGCCCCCCTCGATCACGTATGTATCACCTTGGGTCCAGGTGAGGTGTGCACAGACTCACCCAATGTCGACAGTGACCGTTCAGTTTTTTTCTGTATTGTCTTTCTCCAGCAACCATGCGAGCGCAGACGAGGCCAACGAGACGCACTTGCTTTGCTTTTGGTCGCCAGCCGTGCGGAGGAGTGCTGCATATGTGTGCACGATAGAGGTCAACTTAAGGTAACGTTGCCCTCACCAAGTCCATCTCGGCCCCCGGCAGGCCAAAGCGCCACAGGACAGCGCCGGCTTCTCCAAGCAGACCAGGGACGGACGGGTTCCAGCTCCATATCCGGAGCACATGCTCAGCCTCAGAGCAGCGACTGTCTCTTCGTCTGCTGCCGACCTGCCGAGCCCGCTGGGGCTGGAGCTGGAGCTGGAGCCGGGACTGGGACTGGGACTGGGACTGGGACTGGACCCTGGTAGTAGTATCACGACGATACATCGACAGCGCAGTGCAGCGCATAGTACTCGTACATGCCATGGACAAGCATCAGCTGCCATGTACATACTCGCTTGTACTCGTAGCATCGCATTGGACCGGACTGGATTGGATCGAATTCGACAGTCGCGTGGCAAGGGTCGTGCTCCCGCCCACCAACGGCTGCTTCTTTGGGAGGGATCATCTTAGCCACGCGATCCAGTCGGCACAAGCAAGCATCCCTGGACGAGGCGCGCCGCAGCCAGGCATTGGCATTCAAATACATATACCGCTGGGCCCTCGCCCCCGTGTCTGGGCATCATCAGCGGCGGTTGAATTCCCACCGACGTGTTGCTGTTGCTGGACTACCTTACTACTTATCTACAAGGTAGTATCGAGACTTAGAGTAGCAGTAGCAGTACCATCGCCGCCATGATGCTGCCCAAGGCCGTCCTGGCCATTGCCGCCCTGGCCTCCAGCCCTGTCAATGCGCTGTGGCCCATTCCCCAGAAGATCTCGACCGGAGACAGCGTGCTCTTCATCGACCAGGCCGTCCGGGTGACTTACAATGGGGTGCCGGTATGTTGACGAAGAAGGCGATTCCAATGGCACAGACACTGACTGACTGACACCTGCACAGATCATCACCATCGGCTACGAGCCTCCGGCCGGCTCCCACTTCAGCAGCCAGGAGATCGTCCAGGGCGGCGTCTCGCGCGCCCTGGCGTCCATCTTCAGCACAAACTTCGTCCCCTGGAAGCTGAACCCGCGCAACAGCAACTTCGAGCCCAAGCTGGCGCTGCAGAACCGCGTGCAGACCATCGCCATCCGGCAGACGGGCAAGGACTCGACCTCGACCTTCAAGCCGCGCGCCGGCGACGTCGACGAGTCGTACTCGCTGACCGTGTCCAAGGCGGGCCAGGTCGACATCACGGCCAAGTCGTCGACCGGCGTGCTGCACGCCCTCGAGACCTTCTCCCAGCTCTTCTACAAGCACTCGGCCGGCCCCTTCTACTACACCACCCAGGCGCCCGTGAGCATCACCGACTCGCCCAAGTACCCGCACCGCGGCATCATGCTGGACCTGGCCCGCACCTACCAGACCGTCGACGACATCAAGCGCACCATCGACGCCATGGCCTGGAACAAGCTCAACCGCCTGCACCTGCACGTCACCGACTCGCAGTCGTGGCCGCTCGTCATCCCCGCCCTGCCCAAGCTGTCCCAGGCCGGCGCCTACCACCCGAGCCTGGTCTACACGCCCGCCGACCTCGCCAGCATCTTCCAGTACGGCGTCGCCCGCGGCGTCGAGGTCATCACCGAGATCGACATGCCCGGCCACATTGGCGTCGTCGAGCTGGCCTACAACGACCTCATCGTCGCCTACGAGCAGATGCCCTACCAGTACTACTGCGCCGAGCCCCCCTGCGGCGCCTTCTCCCTCAACAACTCCAAGGTCTACGACTTCGTCGACACCCTCTTCGACGACCTGCTGCCCCGCGTCGCCCCCTACAGCGCCTACTTCCACACCGGCGGCGACGAGCTCAACGCCAACGACTCCATGCTCGACCCCCACCTCAGGAGCAACGCGACCGACGTGCTGCAGCCCCTGCTGCAAAAGTTCCTCAACTTTGCGCACTCCAAGATCCGCGCCGCCGGGCTGTCGCCCTTTGTCTGGGAGGAGATGGTCACCACCTGGAACCTGACGCTCGGAAACGACACCGTCGTGCAGTCGTGGCTGGGAGGCACCGCCGTCAAGGACCTCGCCGAGAGCGGCCACAAGGTCATTGACACTGACTACAACTTTTACGTGAGTACTTTCCACTTACCTATACATCCTTGACTGCCGCCACGATGAATTACGAAACAAGACAGATTGCTAACAAAAGACTGATGCAGTACCTCGACTGCGGCCGCGGGCAATGGGTCAACTTCCCCAACGGCGCCTCCTTCGACACGTACTACCCCTTTGGCGACTGGTGCGCCCCGACCAAGAACTGGCGCCTCATCTACTCCCACGACCCGGCCGCCGGCGTCTCCGCCGCCCACGCCAAGAACGTCCTCGGCGGCGAGCTCGCCGTCTGGAGCGAGATGATTGACGCCAGCAACCTCGACAACATCATCTGGCCGCGCGCCAGCGCCGCCGGCGAGGTCTGGTGGTCGGGCAACGTCGACGGCGCCACGGGCCAGAACAGGAGCCAGCTCGAGGTCACGCCCCGGCTCAACGAGTTCAGGGAGAGGATGCTCGCGAGGGGCGTCAGCGCCATGCCCATCCAGATGACGTACTGCACGCAGCTCAATGCCACGGCTTGTACGCTTTTCGCATGAGTTCGTTCTATTTTTCTTTAAATGTTTAGTGTATAGGGGGGGTTTTATTAGGTATGGATCATGAGGTGGTTTGGGAGGCTATGCCTTGGGAAGCGTTTATTGTATATATAATATTTATTCATAATGAGTATCACCATTGGCAGTGGAATATACCTTACACATCAGACTTTCCCATTCTCTCACATGACGCATCGATTCTTGAGAGAATTTGAGACGGGCCATATGTCAGTTCAGCCTTGCGCGATGCTTCTATTATCTGCGTGGGGGGTAATGTAAACAGATGCCCTGTTGTGTATAAAAAACCGTTCATCCAACCCTCCCACACACACAACAACCTCTCTTCTCCCTCTCCAGAAGAAAAGAAAAGAAAGAAAGAGGAAAAAGAGAATCCAGTATCTTTCACTCATCCCAACTAGCCCATAACCGAAGAAAAAAAAAAAAAAAATCAAGAGTTGAAACATCAAATCCCATGCCACATTACCTACTACAAGCAAGACAAATTCCCATGCCACATTACCTACTACAAGCAAG